CGCGCGCGCCAGTGGCCGCCGTCCTCGCTGCAGGTTCGCGTCCCGCTTTGCTCCGTGCGAGGCTCGGCTCCCGGCCGCCTGGACGGCCCGGGACTGACGGCCCCGGGACAGAGGCGACCGTCGCGGCTGCGGGAGCAGAAGCGAAGCTGAGGCCCGGGGAGAGGCGACAGCGGCGAGAGCGCCCGGGGAGGGGAGAAGGAGAGAAGATGGCGTCGGAGCTGGAGTCCGAGGTGCAGGCCATCGACCGCAGTTTGCTGGAATGTTCTGCCGAGGAGATCGCAGGGGTGAGTGCGGGAGCCCGGGAGGGCGATGTCCGGCCCTCGCAGGCCGCGCCCCGGGGGAGGAACAGAGTCCTGGAAATCCCGGAGCGCGCCACTGACTTCGGGTAACAGCCGCGCTGGCCCTGTCCGGTGGGGAAAGGACCCAGGAGGCCATCGAGCCTGCTCCGCGCCCTCTGTGCCCAGAGGTCCCCAGGCCCCCCGTACCTGGCGCTCTCATTGCCCCTCTTTACCTTCCTCGTCCGTGAAGTCTCCCACACTTAGGCCTTCGCCCTTTATGCCGGCTGTTGGGAGGAAGGGAGCGAGCCGCTTCCTAGCGCAGTCGTACAGTCGCCCTACTTTAGCTTCTGATCTCTTTTCTTGGGATAAGCAGAGCAGTGTCTGCGCTGAGGCGTCTTGTCCTCACCAACTTTGTTGCTGGGACCGCCCGGGGGCACCCAGGCTGCAAACCGCACAGCCCCGCATTCCCCCACAGTGCTTTTTAAAAAAGTCATCTTGCACTTGTTTATTTAGTTAGATGGCAACTAACTAAATAAACTCGGTGCCTGGGTGCATGGTAGTGTCTTGACACGTTTGCTGAGCGTGGAGGCTGGGAGGTTTTTTTAAAAAATATATATAATTTTTCTAGAAGTTGGGAAAAGTTGGACGGAGAACAAACGTTATATAACTTTGAGAAAGCAGCTTTGGTTAACAGATGCAAGCTCATTAATGGTAGAGTTGATCACAGTGTATCAGCAGCCATTAGGCCCTAACCCTAAGCCAATCAAACTCAGTAAGGACTAAAAATGTAATATGAACAGTGCTGATATAAGTAGCAAAATTATAAAAACAACTTCAACACACTCAGTGTCATCTTTTGCCAGTGAGGGCAGGGGACACCTATCAGAACAGATTGTCCACAGTGACTGTGAATGGTTCGAACAATTGGAGCCCAGTCTCTAAGGCCTGAAGTTGAAAAAGCTCCTAGAAAATGAGTGCCTCTCGGCACCCTGCATGTTGCGGGCAGTAGCTGGGGTATGAGGCTGTTGAGTGTTTGGGGTGAATTGGTACCCCTAAGGAAGTTCAGGTGGAAATGAGTGAGAGGGAGGGTAAAGGTGATACATTTAAAAAAATACATTGTTGCCTAACGAGTCTTTCTGAGTTTTTGGTTTTGTTTTTTAAGACTAAGGTGTTCAGCCTGTTTTCATGTATTTCTGTGTGAGATTGCACAACCCAAGGATTGTCAGCCCCCATCTGCCTTTGATTTATCAAAGCGATTTGGAAAAGGAGATGAAAGCCTGTCCTAAGAAAGCAGGAAAATAACAACAGTAACTTGGTATCTTTTTCTAATTGTTGTCAAATCTGTTTATGTCAAAGTAGTGGGGTTTTGGTTTGTTTGGTTTTTTTCTCTCCAGTGAATTTTTTGGCATCTGTGGGCTAGTGATGCTAGCAGTGTTACCCATTCTAAAATTGATGAGATACCCTCAGTTTGTTGCGGTTCCCGAGGAAGCATTTACAAAAACAGTGCCAGGGCTGTTGCGCCCAGCTCTTAAGGGGTGAATTTTCAAGCAGACGGAGTGCAGGAAAATAAGGGAAATGCAACAAAACCTTTTTTTAAATTTATTTCTAATGATGTGTATTTGTGTATGTCTGTGTCGGGTGTGAGCATATGAGTGCTGCACCCTGGCCCCAGGCACCAGATCCCCAGTGTGGTGGAAGAGTGCTGTGTGCTCTTAACTGCTGGGCTATCTCCAGCCCAACAGACTCTTATCAACTTGTGCCTGTTTGAATTTGGGAAGATCTCCGTCTGAGCTCACGTTACTTTCGGCTCAGTTGACTTTTAAGTGGCTTTCTTATGGAGATTTATGAAATGAAACTTTAGGAAATGTAGTCTGAAGGCAGGGAAGTCCTGTAAACAGAACAGATGGACACTAGAATCGGTGCCGTACTCCCCCGCTGTATAACCTCACCCAGCATTAATTCCATCTAGAGGGCTTTACTGGGTGTGTTTAATTAGGATGCCAAATACTTGAACATGGTTCTTTCAGCCTTAGGCTCCAGCATGGCCCTGGACCACAGCTGAAAGTTAACAGGCCATTTTCTCTTAGGATAAAAGTAAATTTTAGTCAGGTGTGGTGGTACATGCCTTTAGATCCAGCACTTCTGAGGCAGAGGCAGGCAGATCCCAGTTTGAGGCCAGCCAGGGCTATATAGTAAGAGCCCATCTCAAAAAAAAAATTTTTTTTTTTTTTAATTTTAGAGAAGATTAAACAGAGAAAGTAGTTATTGCAGAATTTAGACTTCCGTGATTGACGATTTTTTAATACCAATTCCATTTTAACTTAGTAAGTGCTGATGCCTTTTGTGTCATTTTGAAATGGGCTTGCTGTGTGTCCCAGGCTAGCCTTGAACTCAGAATCTTCCTGCTTAGCCTCCTGCCTGCTGGACTTGCAGGCAGGTGACACCACACCTGGCCTATGAGTAAGCCTTGAACACTTTTTTTGTATCAGGCAGAGGAAAGCCTTTGCTATTGCATCCATTTCAACCAAGCTGACTCTACACTTGGGATTTTAGAGATCACCGAAGCCAGCTGCGGTCGGTCTTCTCTTTCTTGGTAGAATTGATTCCAGTATGTTCCAATAGGTGATTATCATTTAGGAAGACACGTATTGTTTTTCCCCATGCGTGAAATAAATCGAAGCTGTGTTGGATGGTGCACGTCTATAATCCCAGCACTCAGGAGGCTGAGGCAGCAGGGTCACATGGGAGTGTCAATCCAGCCTGTGCTATATGGGGGATCCTTGTCTCCGAAAAGGAAATTTGGAGCTGGGTAGATGGCTCCTTCAGTCCAATGCTTCTTCATGCAGGCATAAGGACTTGAGTTCTCCCCAGGCACGGCAGTGTGTGGCTGTGGTCCCAGCACTGGGGAGCAGGAGACAAGCGGGTCCCTGGGGCTTGCTAGCAAGCTAGTCTGACTGAATCAGTGAATCCCAGATTCTGTGAGGGACTTGTTTAAAATAAGGCAGTGAGAAACTGAGGAAGACATCGGGTGCCCACCCCCCCAGGTGTCACGTGCACACACCCAGATGAGAGATTTCAAAAATTTCTTTCATGAACTTGAATTTCTGTGTCTGCATGTTTGTGTATGTGAAGAGTGAGTTGGTGTGGGTGCCAGGCACTCTTGAGGAGGTCAGAGGACATGATGTGGAGTCTATTCTTCCCTTCCATCTTTATGTGGACTCTGGGGATTAAACACAGGTCACCAGGCTTGCCAGGCAAGCTCCCTTAACCAATGGGCCATCTTGCCAGCACTCATTATAGACATTTTGTGTAGAGTTTTGTGGGTGTGTTGATTATTTCTAGTTTTAACATTGTGAATAGTCTTAGGGAGGTACAGTACACACTATGGTTCAGGGTTAGAGTGCATTCCTAGAGTTGTGTGACCATGACTTCCCTTTCATAATGTTCTCATCATCCCTCCAAAGGAATATGTCCCTCTCCATCCCCGCCCCCATCTCCAAACTGTAAACAATTGCTAATCTATTTTCTGTTTCCATAGATTCATTTATTCTGGACATTCTATATAAATGAGACCATACAATATATCTTATGGTTGTTCTCCTTTCTTTTCACAGATGTTCATCAGTGTTGTAGAATGCATTGATACTTCATTCCTTTTCATTACCAAACAATAGCCCCTTGTACAGATGGATATAGCACATGAATGGATATAGTTTTATCCATTCATGAGTGGATAGATATTTGGGCTTTGTTGCTTTTTGGATATCCGGAATGAGCTACTGTGAATATTTGTGTAGAGATTTGTGTGTGTGCACTTTGATTTCTCCGGGCCATGTCCCTGGGAGTGGAGCTGCTGGGTCATATGGTAATAACTCTTTTGAGGAACTGCCAGCCTGTATCCAGGGTGGCTGTAGCATTCTATATTCTGTCAGCAGTGCGGGAGGGCGCTCCGTTAGCTGCATCCTTGCCAGCACTTGTCTGTGTTTTGACTGTTGCCACTCTGTTAGGTATGAAGGACTTTCTCATGGATTGCACTTCCGTTTCTTACTTGATCGTGATGCTAAACACTTGTATGAGCTTATTGTCCATTTCTGTACCTTTGTACCTGCCATCTTAATGTAGTTTTCCTCCAGTTCCATACTCTATTTTACCAGTAGAGATTGCTGTTTTGTAGCTAACTCACATGTTGTGTGGCCTTGTTTGAAAGCAAACCAGATGTGCTCAAAAGATGCAGTTTTAATCGGCTGTAGAATACTTAGGTGCAGTAGCAAAGACAGCTAACCTCTAGGGACTCCCTTGCTTTGCGTTTCTGTTTTATGTGTGTTCTCAGTCCGAGGCTTAAAGTCAACCTTCAGCAGGAGGAGAGCTGGGATGTTGTCATGGCTTGTTTGCTTTAGTGGGATGAGGTGACAGTTTCTTTACTTGTAAGGTGGTAAGTGCTGGTCCGTGTATATGAGATAAGGACAAACCAAAGTGCAGCCAAGTTGGAAACCCAGTAATGTTTCACGTAGAAACCTCAGCAGCATTTAGCAGGTGAGAACTGGTAAGAAAAGCTGTTGATTTTATTTTGAGAAATATGTAAGCAATCATTGTGAGAGACAATCCTAAGTTTTTCTTGCTTTATATAATAATACATGTTAAGCTTAATCAGACTAAGGTGCCTGTAATAGAGTCCAAATACTAGGTGGCTTTTAATTGTTCACACAACAGTAATAAACTTTTGTATTTTGCAATATTGAGTACCTGGGCCTTATGAGTTCTGTACTACTGAACTACACCACCAGCTCCAGTGGTATACTTCTAAGCGATGGGGAACATATGTCAGCCTTTTTAGTTAGGTTTTGACAAGAAAATGATTTTTGAAATTAGATACTTCTCCACTAATGACATGCTTCATAATAGCCTTAACTTTTTTCCTTCCTTTAAGATTTTTAATTTTTAGGTATGTGTATGTATGTGTGTTCATGTGTCTGTGCACATGTGTGCAGATGCCCTCAAGAGGCCAAAAGAGGTCATCAGACCCCCTGAATGTAGAGTTAGAGGTGGTTGTAAGCTGCCGTGAGTGCTGGGGACTGAAGTCGGGTTCTCTGCAGCTGCTGATCCTTCCGCAGCTGAAGCTTCCTTTTTATCAAAGAAACTATGAACAGATGTGATCCATCAGCTGATGGAGCCACAATAAATACTACACAGTTTCTTCTAAGAACCGTCTTATCTTGATTACAATTCTGCAAAAGTGAGTTTTTAGGAGAGATGGGAACATAAAATGAGGAAAACTAAATTTTTTTTCCATTCTTTTAAAATAGGACCCCATGTGGCTCAAACTGACTTTCATTCCCTAAATAGCTGAATATGACCTTGACTTTATGATATTCATGCCTCCACATCCCAAGTGCTGGAATTACAGGCATTACATTCCCCCACCTATTTCACCATTTTAAACTTAATCTTTTTTTTTTAAATTCATGTTCTCGTTCATTCCTCTCGCCCCTCTCAGTTTTTTGTTTGCTTGTTTTTGTTTTTTGAGACAGGGTTTTTCAGCCCAGGCTGTCTTGGAACTCGCTTTATAGACCAGGCTGGCCTTGAACTCACAGAGATCAGCCTGCCTCTGCCTCCAGAGTGCTAGGATTATTCATTTCTCTTATGCTTCCTTTCTTACCATCGTGGAGTTTAGGTGCAGGGCCTTGCTCATGCTACACAGGTGCTCTACCCCTAAACTCGATCTCCAGCCCTTTCTTTCTTGAAAAATCTATTCAAGACACTTCTGGCCAGGTTTGCCACATGTCTTTACTCACTGCACTCAGGTGGTGGAGGCAGGTGGATCTCTGTGAGTTCCTGATCTACATAGGGAGTTCTAGGCTAGCCAGGGCTATAGAGTGAGACCCTGTTATCCCCTCTCCAATGTTCATTTTATTTAAAATACGTGTGTGTGTCTGTAAGAGTATATTTCCATGAGTGCAGGAACCAGCAATAGCCAAAAGAGAGTGTTGGCTCCCTTAGAGCTGGAGTTGTACGTGGGTGCTGGGAACCAAACTCTGGTCCTGTAAGAACAGAGCAGCACATGTTTTTACCTTCTGAGCTATCTCTCCAGCCCCTAAATTTATTTTTTAAGTGAGTATGTATGCATGCCTCTTTTTGGTTTTTCAAGACATGGTTTCTCTGTGTAACAGCCCTGGCTGTCCTGGAACTCACTTTATAGACCAGGCTGGCCTTGAACTCACAGAGATCCTCCTACCTCTGCCTGAGTGCTGGGATTAAAGGCATGTGCCACCACTGCCCAGCTATAATTTGTTCTTACTCATCCTATCTCCCACTGAAAATATGCTTATAAATAAAACCTTAGTATTGTCAGTTAAAATTGTATTCAGCTTTCTTACTTTTTCATTCATAAAAAAAACCGTATAGGATAATTTGATAACTTTTCTTCTTATCTTGGCTTACCCGACAATGGGTAAACAATTGGACATTTACCCTTGGATGTGGCCAGTACAAGCGTCATTTAAAAACTCAATAAGTCAGGTGTGGTGGTGCATGCCTTTAATCCCAGCACTCAGGAGGCAAAAGCAAGAGGATCTCTGAGAGTTCAAGGCCAGCCTGGTCTACATAGAGAGTTCCAGGATATCCAGGGCTACACAGAGAAACCCTGTCTCAAAAACAAACAAACAACCCTCAGTGAGTATGATTTCACTGCTTGCCCTTTTTGTAACTGTGGAACTTAAACTGTGTGTGTGTGTGTGTGTGTGTGTGTGTGTGTGTGCTTCTGAATGTATAACATTGTGATTTCTAGCAGCTACTCTTTAAAAGGGGAGAATCGTTTTGGGGATTTTTCTCCTAAGAAGTACTGTCATTTGAAAAATAACTTAGTCCCTTCCTGCACACATAAAGCAAACAGGAAGGTAATGTTTGGAAAGTCCACGATTACTCGAGTGGTAAAAACTTTGTTTGCAGTCATAGCCTTTCAGTACCAAGCCTTATGAACTAAGTGTTTATATTTTTAGCAAAAGTTCTCTGGAACATGAGATTAACTAAAAAGTTAAATAACACCACCTCACAAATATTTAAAATGTTATTTTTAGAAGAAATATGTGGGCTGAGGATTGTGTAGATAATCGCTAAATGAAGGCCTTACATTGACTTATTTATTTATTGTGTATGAGCTTTTTCCCCGGATGTATATATGTGTAACCGTGCGTATGCCTGGTGCCCTTGGAGTTCAGAAGAGGGCATCACATACCTTGGAATTAGAGTTATGGATGGCTGTGAGCTACCATGCGGGTGCTGGGAACTGAACCTGGGTCCTCTGCAGGAGCAGCTAGTGCTCATCGCCTCTTGTCATCTCTCCAGCTCCTCACACTGATGTCTTCAGATGCTAAGCATCGATTCTTCATAGTCCCTTTAATCTTGCCCTCCTCTGCTGCCTCGGGAGCTCTGGGTTGCAGGTTCACGGATGGCTCTGACGGCACCACCAGGCTTGAGCTCGATTAGGAGTTCCTTCCCCTGGCCCTGTTGGTTTTCAAGTCATGGTTTCTCTGTGTAGTCCTGGCTGGCCTGGAACTCGGAGATCCGCCTGCCTCTGCCTCCCGAGTGCCGGGATTAAAGGCATACAGCATCATATTCAGAAAATAGAAGTCTTTTTTAACAAGTCTGTGATGGCAACCTAAGTAAACACTGGGTTTGTGAGCTGTGTTAGCGGTTCAGTTAACTGTTTTAGTACACGTGGGTCATTTTATCTCATGTTTTGAGGGTTATAATCTTTTTCTTGGCTTAGAGCCAATATGGCACAAAGAAGTTTAAGAGAGCAGTGGACACGTGGTCGGAGGAGGCAGGCTGTGTGGCAAAGGCCAGGGAAGGCCAGAGGAGAGAGGAGAGGCAAGCGAGTGCTTCAGGGGGCCTGGGCTGGGCTGCAGGTCTGGACTTGCCCCGGCCTTCTTTCCCTGGGGGCATCTCTCTGTCTCTCTGGAATGTGAGTACAGTGAGTGAAAGCAGACTTGGAGTCCTCCACCAGTCTAACCCAGTCCTCACTGGGTCACCCCTGACAGAAGGGGAGGGAGGTGGAAACTGGACTAAAGGACACCTCCTGGGAGGCGAAGCATGCGCACTGAGTGACTAGAAACAGCCGTAGGCAGGGGAAGTAAGCCAGGAGGACTTCGTGAGCCAGGGCCATTTCAGGGGCTGGACCTTAAACGTAATGGGAAGCTGTATGACATGTTCAAGTTGGTATTTGTCAAAAATTACCCCAGTAGTGAGGTTAGAAAAGTTCACAGAGGGACAAGGCTGATGGGGTCCCCAGAAAGGACATGGCTACGCTGTGATGGGGTGGGGTGAGAAGTTCTGTAGAGAGAGAAATGGATGGATGCCTGTCTGATGGTAAAAACAGAGTGATGATGTTGATCGGAGCAGGCGGAAGATTCTCAAGTTTAAGTACTTAGATAAATCTAAAGTAGCGAGATAGAGGAACAGATTTTGGTGGTGGTGGGCATTTTGAGTTGGTACTTGTGAGATATCCAGCTATATAGGTAGTTGGAAGCCAAAGTCGGGGCACAGAAAAGGGAGGTATTTTGAGTTTTGGTTTTCTATCTGGATTTCGGGGGAGAACAAAGGGGAAAGGATTTGTAGAGAGAAGTTCATCAGAGAAAGAAGCCATAGTCAATAGGTCAGGCTCTTGTGGGATGACATCCGTGAAAGACCCCCCCCCCACACACACACACACACACACGTACGTCTGTCCATCCAGGCTCTTGTAGATGTTTCTTCCTTCTGCCTTTACCAGGGTCCTGGAGATTGAAATCAAGTCATCAGGCAAGCACTTTTACCCATGTGGCCGGCCCAAATTAAAATTTTAATGTATAATAGTATAAACAAAATATGATTATTATTATCTTTTTACCAAAAAGGAAGTTGGATATAATTGCTCAAATTAGCAGTCCGTTGACCTTATTTAAAACTTTTTTTCTTTTTCTAAAGAAATGGCTGCAAGCAACTGACCTCACCAGAGAAGTATACCAGCATTTAGCCCACTGTGTGCCCAAAATCTACTGCCGGGGTCCCAACCCTTCCCCACAGAAGGAGGACACACTTGCACAGCATGTCTTGTTGGGACCAATGGAGTGGTACATCTGTGGTGAAGACCCTGCCCTGGGATTCCCGAAGCTTGAGCAAGCGAACAAGCCTTCTCATCTCTGTGGCCGAGTGTTTAAAGTAGGGGAGCCCACATATTCCTGCAGGTAAAGTACGACAGTTCTCTGAAGCCTTCAGATTTTCTTTCCTAATTATGAAATCTATACATTTAAAAGTCCACACCACCAATACATACAGTTGAATAAACTGATTTGGGGACAGATATTCATGAAATGACTTTGCAGATCAAGAACCAACCTGTCACCAGCACAGAGAAGCCCTAGGTGGCTTCCATCTCTATCCTGGCCGTAGTTTCTCCCTTACCCTTCTGATGTATCTTGCTTCCAGTGATTCTTTCTGATGCTCACATTGTTCCGGAGTTGCCTGTGGAATCCCATCACACTGGCTCCTTTGTTCCTCCCCTCTGCCTTCATTAACTTTGGGGTGCTGCTTCCCTTTCTGGCATGATGAGATACCCACAGCTTTCTGTATTTGCTGTGACCTATATGGAGAATCAGTCATTTCTCCAAGGAGTTTCTTTTTAATTGGGAATGGTAGAAAGTAGGATATGTTTGCTATGTGGGCTTAGAAATACAAAAATGACCTTAAAAGATTGGTGAAATTGAGTCTGAGAAAAGAAGGAAGAACATGCCCTGAGCCCTTCTGACTTCCCATGCTTATTATCACTTGCTCACAGTGCTGTCTCGGGCTGTTTCTCCTGAAGTCACTCCCCCACGTAATCGAGAATCGGTGGGAAGCCCTTGGCTCTTCCCTCCCTTTCTCTGTCCGCCACTGTTGGCTCTGCTTTTCCCTATCGAGCTTTGAGTTTCCTTGCTTTTTAATATGGTTGCAGGGCTAGGACTTGAACTTCAGATGTTGATCCACGTCCACTGATGTAGTTCCGATTTTGTTGTTGATGTTGTTGTTTAATTTACACACTGGGTCCTAGCCTCACACAGTAGGAGCCTTTAGCGCTGCTGGCTCTTTTTGATGCTGCTAGTGTTCTCAAAATACTTACTTAGTTTCTGGCACAAGATTACTGAGCAGTGGTGGCACACACCTTTAATCCCAGCACTCGGGAGGCAGAGGCAGGCAGATCTCTGTGAGTTTGAAGCCAGCCTGGTCTACAAAGAGAGTTTCAGGACAGCCAGGGCTACACAGAGAAACCCTGTAAAAAACCATGCCACAATGACATCTTAGATTTCTCCCTGTCTGCCTTGAAATCAACCATGTTCCCAAGAAACTGGTTTTCTTAGTAGAGAATGGTGTTTAGCAAGAAGACAGTGGCTAGGTAACCCGTGTGCTCCTTGCGTTGGGGCGTCGGTACTTCTGGACCCTCTCACGCTCTGTATTCGACCCCTGTCCAAGCCCTGAAATAGGTATCTGGGACTACGGTGGCTTCTCCAGTTCTAGCCCAACCCCTCGGGGTTCTCCCTGGGTTTGTGTCTCTGGCGGGAGGAACGTGAGTCCCATCGTCTCTCCGTGTGCAGCCAGACAGTCCTTGGCTTTTTATGGCTTTTGCCACCCAGCTGTGTGTGACCACCCTTCTTCCTGTGCAGGGACTTTGTTCTCACCAGTTGTTGGGGCACGGACAAAGTAGTTCTTACGTCGGTGTCTGTAGAGCTTACTCCACAACGTAGCCTTCCTCGTGTGTCTGCTGGCCTGAGTGTCCCTGTGACCTCTCTCTACATCACTCTAGGAAGCTTGCCGAGCCTAGCCTAACCTCTGATCTGTGGGTGACTCCACATCATCTTCAGCCCTTAGGCAGGGTCCTCAAAGGAACAGAGCCAGTAGAGTGTAGATACCTTACAGAAGAGTTTGCTAGAATGGCTCACATGATGGTGTCTGGGGAGTCCAGAAGGGCTGGCTCCATGCTGCACCCAGCAGCTGCCCAGTCACCTCACTACGACCAGTCTGGTGCCGAGGACCTGGATAACTCCCAGGGAATCCACTGATCTTCTGCCCACAGCCGAGGCCCAAGAAGCTGGAGTCCGGATGAGTGGGGATGGCGCTGCATCAGGGACACTGTGGAGCATTGGGTCTCATTGCACCCACAGCTGGGGAGCAGAGAGATGACTGCTGGTACTCAGCTTGCCTTCTCCCTTTTATTCAGCTGGGGACCCCATCATAAAGATTGTGTGCCCGCATTCAGGCTGGATCTTCCCACAATTTAAACCTCTCTGGAAACAGCCTTATAGACGTACCCAGAGATCTGTTTCTGCTGTGACTCTGAGTCCAATCAAGGTGACAGTGAAGGTGACCAGCGTATTTCCACCCCACACTCATGCTACCCTCGGCTGCCTTGACCACAAAGGTCAGCTGACCCTCCTGCCCCTCAGCCCTGCTCAGACTTTGCCTGGAGCACTCAAATGTCCTGGGGCTCTCCTTGGTTACTGCTCTCTTGTTCAGCCCCCTGTATTTCATCTCATCTTGCTTGTTCTCGGTGGCCATGACAGTGGGATCACTGAGTCTGTGTTCCCCTCCCGGAGCCAGCAGAGGTCCATCCTAGCTGTGTCTGAGCTCATACAGGTCGCTGTGTTTGCTAAGCGCTATCTTCTGATCAGATGGAATCCAGGCAGTTGGAATCCTGTTTAATCCTTCCATAGCGTCGGAGATGATAGCCTTCAGGAACCTGAGGGTCAGTGAGTCAGACTCTTCCCTAAAGCACATCTGATACAGAGGAAGACTCAGATCTGTTTCCGGTTCCCCTGCTATATGCCTGCAACACAGATGCCAGAATGTGAGGAAAGCCGCCTCCACCCCGGCCTGCCGACTCCACCCGGGCCTGAGGCAGTCAGTTAGGAACAGTGTCAGGTCTCACAGGTTGAGGTCTCAGTCCTACAGCACTGCCCCGCCCCCCATCTCTGACGACTCAATTCTGAACCCCTCTATCCAGGATGGATTGATTTGCAATTGGGATTCCTATGGCTCTCTGCTTGGGTTTAGTTAATTTGCCACAGGGGATTGTATTCCTCGGACTATTATAAAGCATATTGCAAAGGATACAGATGAAGGGATGTACAGGGCAAGATCTGGGAGAACCTTCTGTGCTCTCTGGGCATGCCTTCCCCCAGGTGGTGAGCATTCTGGAAGCTGTCCATGCTGTGTCCTTTCTGGTGTTTATGGAGCTTGGGTGAAGCTCGGACAGTCCTGTGGAATGTGATTGAACGAAAAGGCTAAGACCGAATGCTCATAATAGACTCAGTGGGAAGATCCTTAAAGCCTGTCTGTGTGGAGTCTTCTTGGCCTTGAGCTTTCCTTTAGGTGGTATAGGGCAGGACGCTTCTAGAATTTCCACTTAGAGAGTTTCTTCATGGCTGTCTTTAAGATGGAAAGGCTGGGGTGACTAGAATGTATTTTCAGTTCTGATGACCTGGCTTAGAGAAGGGAAAAGGTGAGAGGAAGGCAGGAGAAGGTCAGAAGGAGGCCTGAAGCACCTCAGGGTTATTCCAGTCACTAGGAAGCATGAGCGAGAAAATGGACAAAGCCCAAATCTGTGTCATGTCACACCAGGCCTATGACTAGAAAGCCCTTTTTTTTCTCCTCACATACCAGTATGTTAGGAGTTTTCCACTCATCTATAATGAAATGAGGGAAAATGGGCTGGTTGTTTTTTGTTTTTTTGTTTTTTTCATGCAGCTAAATTTAAATGCTTGGACATGTACTTTGTTGTTAAAAATACATGATGGTGGCTGGAGACGGCTCAGCAGTTAAGAGCACATGCTGCTCTTGCAGAGGCCCTGAGTTCGGTTCCCAGCATCCATGTTGGTCAGCTGGAAGCTACTGAGGACTCCAGTCCTAGCAGGTCTGACTCGTCTCTGTCCTGTGCAGGCCCCTGTACTCAGCTGCACATACCCGCATGCAGATACACAGAAATACATACCACTTAAAATGCTGCAAGTACGGATTTGAAAACATGATATGCTGGCAAGATGGCTCAGCAGTTAGGGTGTTTGTCACCAAGCCTCACAACTGAGTTCAATCTCAAGACCCACATGGTGGGAGGAGACAGAGCTGACAACTGTAAGCTGCTCTCTGGCCTTCACATGTGCACCGTGGTTACACAGGCGTGCACACACAGACATGCACACACACACAGACACATGCACATACACACACAGACATGCCCACAGACACTCGCACACACACACAGACACTCGCACACACAGACACACAGACACATGCACACACGCACACACACACACACACACACACACACAAATGAGTACATAAATAATATTACCTGAGTTGATGATAATAAAAGTTTTGTTTTTGTTTTAATGGACTTTCCTTGTGGGCTCTGAAGCTCAGAAGAGGCAGCTGCTGCTGGGAACCGTTGTCCCTAGTAAAGGCTGGGGGTCTCTGATAGAGGAAGAAAACACGACTCTATCCAGTTTCCTAGGTTCTCTGTCACCCCAGAGGAAGAATTCTGAGGCCAAGGAATTCTGATGGATTTTATTACAGAGCACAAGTAGGGTGCATAGGCTTCTGGAGAGGATTGTGTTGCTGGCATTTTAGACAGCTTGTCTAATGGGCAGACTAAATGGAGGAGAGGACTCTCCGATGTTAAGGTGAACTCTAAGGATGGGTCAGGACGTCCCCTGTAGGGTTCGCTCTTTCTGTCCTTACATGGGGTATTCAGGGGTGTCATGTATGTGACGGGAGCAGCTGGTTTTGTAAGGCTGAAGATACGGAGATGTCATTCTAATGAAGCAAGGACAGCAGTCACCTGCCTCAGCCGGCCATGTTGGCCCAGCCTCTGGGGTGGTGCTGTGGTTCAGTGTTGCCACAGCCCAGGACGGCCTGTGTAACACGGCTCTGAAGTTGCATCAGCAGCTTAGCCTCCATGCAGTTTGACTCTTAGGAGAAATCAAGTTGTGTTGTGGTACTGCTCTCTGTTACCACACAGTACGTACGAGGTTAGTACACAGACAGCATACTTGGGCTGTAGAAAGAGCATTTGGTAACGCAGATCCATGGACTTGGCCTGAATCCACATCTCTGTCATCCAAGTCAGACTGGTCTATGAACGGCTGTTTCCCAGGTGCAGATGTGAAGTATTTGTCTAGTGCCTCAAACGTAACAACAAATATTGTCAGTCAGAAACCTGTGCTACTTTTCAAAATACAGGGACATTGAAAGTGATAGTTACTGCTCTGACTTGATGTTCCTTTAATATTGCTATTAGTTGTCTGTTTCCAATTCTTGTTCAGTGGTATTTGTCAACCTTTTGAGACTGTTCTTTAAGGATAGAAAAATTCCCCCATTCTGGGTTTTGCAGCCTCAGACATTCACTCTTGAAGCCAGTTGGTCATAGGGCAGCTGTTGCCTTAATATACAAGACATCTGCCCTGGCATGGTAGTGCATGCAGTTAATCCCAGCACTCAGGAGGCAGAGGCAGACAGATCTCTCTGAATTCAAGGGCAGTCAGGGCTACACAGAGAAACCCTGTCTTGAAAAAACAACGATAAAAAAGCAAGGTCAGATAAACAAGGTGTCTAAGTCTCTTAGGAACATTTGCCACTCCGTTCTTTGGGAATTTCTTTACTTTGACTGTATACAACCAAATCAGCAAACCCTCAGAACTGTCTTGAATTGATTATGGGCACGAAACCTGATGGCCTTTACCCACTAGAGGCCAGCCTGGTCTACATAGTGAGTTCCAGGACAGCTTGAGCTGCGTAGTGAGACCCTATCTCGGAATAAACAACCAAGTGCTGTCATCTTAACAAGAAGAGCTCAGCACTCAAGCCCGACCTTCACTTTAGATGCCACTTCACCAGAGGCTTGTGAGCTATGACTGAGGGGTGTCAGCTCACTAGGTTGAGTCTCCTCAAGCCTGTGCAGAACTGGACCACTGCGGCCAAGTGTGTGCTGAGAGGCTCCCTCGTCCACTCCAGGATGAAAACAGAACCTTTGTGCTGACTTCAGTGAGCAAAGATCTACAGAGTTGGGGCCTGGCACCTACTATTTTGGCACTTCTAGAAGGGTTCTGATATTGTGGGAAAGTATTAATTTTTGACGCTCAAATTTCTTCTTTTTCTTTCACTTGACAGGGACTGTGCAGTTGACCCTACCTGTGTTTTATGCATGGAGTGCTTTTTGGGAAGTGTCCACAGAGACCACCGATACAGGGTCAGTAATGTCCAAAGGACAGCCACACACAGTGTTGGCTTTTATGCTAGATACCTTTTATCTCATTTTAAAAATGGAATGGGTGCAAGGGCAGGCGGGCTGCAGTGTCTGCCACCCCACGATCACCAGGGTCGAGCTGGCTGGCTAGGTGGGCGCTCCCTTCCCCCGTTACTGCTCCCTGTGGACTTCCTCCCAAAGCTGCGTGCTCAGTTGAGGAGAAAGACCTCCAAATGCAGGGCCAGTCCTCAGTGAGGGCGGAGGAGTAGCTGAGCCCCTGGCTAGAGCCTCCAGACCAGTTCTCATTTCAAAACCTAAAGATTTAACAGGAAAGGGGAGAGAATGGTGTTCAAATTGGGGGATTTTGTTTTTGTTTTTAGGGAATGTAGCTTGTTAGTACAGTACTTGCCAAACATGGGCAAAGCCCTGGGTTCTATTCCCAAGAGGGGAAAGAGAGGTGCTCAGTATAGAAAGGGCTTTGCCAAGCATGGGTAAAGCTCTGGGTTCCATCCCAGGGGGAGAGGTGGAGGTGCTCAGTATAGAAAGGGGTTTCAAGCCTACACATCTTGGAACTCCTAAGAAAGATAACACAGAAATCAGGTCTTCTGTGTTAGCCGCCAGCTAGTTTGGTGTGGTATTTTAAATGGTTATTAAAGAGGCCTATACTACTGGGTCATTCAGGGCCCACCTCCAGCCCCTGAGATTCTTGATGGTTTTATTTGGGGCTGTCCCCAAGCCTGCCCTTGTTCCTCTGCTGGGAGGGGGAGGTGGACTATCAAGATTCAAAGGTGAAGGGACGGTTGTTAAAAGGAGTCGACTGTAGGAGGGGCTTCAGTCCTGCTCTTAATTCTGGAGCACAGCTGGGTCAGGGCTTTTCCACGGTTTGTTTGTATTCCCTCTGCCCAGGTCTTGATAATAATGAACAGAAAGGGCTATATAGAATATCAGTGTCTTGATAAGCCAGCAAGAGGCCCCCAGATACCCTTCAGCTGCCCTGTCTGGTGTTTGGTAACAAGAGCACATGTGTGCACCAGGCTGTTCCCAAGTGGCAGCCTACCTATGCTTCTTGGCCCACATCTGCATCTCCTGGGAATAAGTAGAATGTGCGGGATGACGTTAATTATACTGTGATACAGAGCGTACAAATGCTGGCTTTGGCCAGAGTAGAGGCAGAGTTATTCTAGAATGTGGTACATTTGAACTAGCCAATTGCTAACTCTTCTTTGTGGCACTTTTTATTTTATATAAGTTATATGTTTTTGTGGTACTTTTTTAAAAGTAGAATTTCTGATGTACCAAGTATTAGCCTGTAAGTTCTGTCTTGCCAGACTTAGTAGAATTTCTGATGTACCAAGTATTAGCCTGTAAGTTCTGTCTTGCCAGACTTAGTAACTAGTTGCTGTAGCTTAAGCAAGTGTGACTAAGTCATAAGCCTCCAGGTGATAACAAGGTTTACAGAGTTGCAGTGAGCACTTTTTCCCAACCCTTTAAAGAACAGGATTTTAGGAGTTGTTAAAGAAGGAAAACTGTTTCCTTGAACCTACTGCCTTACAGCATCCTTGGCACAGACACAGCACTCCAGCAAACCCCAGGGGACCCTCGGCAGTCCTCTGTTTTCCTGATGAAGAGAGCAGCGTAGGCAGACACAGCCTCTGAAATACCTGAACTCTCCTCACCAGACAGAACAAAGTAGCTCAGGTCCTTTAGAAGTCAGGCAGAAGCCTAGCCTGCTTACTAGGAAACGTTGACAGTCCCTTTTAGTTGATGCTTCCCCTTCAGAGCAAGGGGACACTTAAGCAGTTTTCTGTCCTTAGCACTTGCTGTTCTTACTTCTTATCTGACAGTCCAGTGACTGTTTACCAGATCCTGTCTTCTTTTTCCTCTAAGATGACGACCTCAGGAGGTGGAGGCTTCTGTGACTGCGGCGACACAGAAGCCTGGAAAGAAGGGCCCTACTGTCAAAAACACGAACTCAGCAGCTCTGAAGTTGTGGAGGAGGAGGTAAAAACAGCCCGGCATGGTCCTAAGTGTGCACTGTGTTGACTCGGAGCTGTTGTGGCGTGTGTGCATGCATCCTTGCATGTGTGGGCATGGGTGTAGACCAGAGATGATTATTGGCTGTCTTCTGTTGCTTCCCACCTTACTTTTTGAGACAGGGTCCCAAGAACAACTGGCCATTGAGCTCCAGGGAATCCTCCTGTCTCCCCCTCCCCAGTGAGGGGTTCTCACCTAATGCATGCTGCCCAGACGCTGGGGACAACTCAGACCCTCAGGCTTGTGGCAAGCTGGCTATCTAGACTGGCCGGGATCGTCAAGCTTCGGCTTCAACGAGACCCCGCCTCAATACAAAGGAGAATCAATAGAAAAAGACACCTGACGTCAACTTCTGGCCTCTATACACATGTACACATGTGTAATTGTACCTACACACATACATAAACAGACCAAACACACACATGCACACAAAGAAAAAAGTAAAATAGTTTGGATAAAAACAACAGAATAGTATTTTGTCTTGAGAAAGTGATGTGAAATCTAAATTTCTTTATCCATAAGTATTTCTTGAACATAGTCATATTTCATTGCTTTAAAGATATATACATATATATATATATATATATATATATATATATATATTTTTTTTTTTTAAAAAGGATGTATGGTTGTTTGCCTGCTTGTATGTCTTGGTACTGTGTGGGTACAGTGTCCTCAGAGGCCAGAAGAGATTGTCCAATCCCTGCGGAAGGAACTGGAGTCATAGATGGTTGTGAGCTGCCATGCAGATGCTGGGAGTCAAAGCCGGGTCCCCTGGAAGATCAGCCGTGCTGTAACGCTGAGCCGCCTCCCCGGCCGCCGTACTTCAGTTTGAGCGCATTGTCTGGAGTCTCTTTCCCACAGCGGCAGAGCTGTGCTCCAGAGCCCACAGCCTGGGGCCACTTAGAGTCCCGCATGAGGCATGTTCTGTCCGGGAACAGAGTCGCAGACAGACATTACAAAGGGGGATTTAGTAGAATCTAGGCTTGCACAGTAGGAGCCGGCCTGTGCAGCAGTGGCCATCTGCATGCTGGACAAACTGAGAACGGTCCACAGAGCTGGATGCCTCAGAATTCCCAGTTGGCACTGGAGCCCTGGGAGTTCCTGGAGTCACTAGTGCTCAGGTCACTTGGGGAGGCCAGATTGTTCCCAGGCTGGGGTTGGACGGCAGCAGCTGTGGCTGCGCTTGCTCAGGAGTGAGGCGGACAGGCTTTGGTTGGCCTGGGACTCTTTCCAGCTGACTCCTCTCAGAAGGAGCTGCTGACTCTGAGGGTGGGTCATCTTCTCAGCTAACGCTCTGTCATCACCTCACAGACAGACCCAGATTCCCTCAACCTACCAGTCAAGATCGACTGTTGCAGGGCTACAGAAAGCTCAGCAGTTAGAAGCACTTGCTGCTCTTTTAGAGGACCGAGGTTCGATTCCCAGCACTCCCATAATGGCTCACAACAATTTGTAACTCCTGTTCCAGGGAATCTGACAGCCTCTTCTGGCCTCTTGAGAGTCCAGGCAAGCGTGTGCTGCAAGAAACACTTGTAGGCAAAACATCCATACAATAAAATAAACATAATTTCAAAAACAACAGCTCTTGTAGGTACTGTCTGATGATGGGAAAAATTTGAGCAGACGTATAGACCATTGGACACCTTGTGTTGAACATGCCTGGTTCCCTTCACTAAATCACAGTAGCATCTCCTGTCACTATGAACATTAAGAACAGCCCATCAAAATTCCACATGGCCTTGGCGGAAGGAGTGAACAGGGAGGTAGTGGGTGTCAGGTCCCCCTCTTAGTTGAGAACCACAATGGACTGTGTGACACCTCCTTTGTTATTTAGGAAACATCTCCAGGTCCTAAATGGGAAATGGCATGTTTTCTCCCTTATGAGTTGGATAGCTCATTGTCTTTCTTTGTTTCGTTTTTTTAGGGTTTTGGGGGTTTTTTGTTTGTGTGTTTGTTTGTTTTGCATTTATTTAGAGTCCGTGTGCACACGCCGCAGGCTGGTGTGACCGTCAGAGCACCTTGCAGGAGTCGGTTCTCTCCAGCCACCGTGTAGGCCCCAGGGACCAAACTCCCATGGTTAGGCTTGCAGCAAACACCTTCACCCGGTTCTGCAAGTTGGAGCTTCCCGTACACGGCTGGAAAGATGGCTTGGTGTTAGAATTTAGAGATTCCAGTGTGCCATTCCAAAATGTTCAGTTATATTCGTTAGGCATTTGAGTGTCTGAATGTTTTGACTCAGCTAATTTAAAATTGAGAACATTGGAAGAAAACATTTTAGGAGGTTTAATTTTGTATTTTGTAACATACACAGGATTAAGTTTGTTGTGAAACGAAACCTGTCACCCTGCTTGTGTTTTGAGAGTTGGAGTTGGAAGGCAAAAGAAGATAATTAGTGTGTACTAAGGAGCTGTGTTTTCTGCTCTCCCCCAGGATCCTCTTGTACATCTATCAGAAGATGTGATAGCAAGAACCTACAACATTTTTGCTATTATGTTTCGATACGCAGTAGATATACTGACCTGGGAAAAAGAAAGTGAATTGCCTGCAGACTTAGAGATGACGTAAGTATCGCCTGTCCCTTGTGTGGAACTGCTAAATTGTAATGTCACTAACACAGCTAGGAGGACATAGTCTTTTCTCTTAAAATTATTATTACATCTGTCCGTCCATTTATTTGTGTGTGGGGAGGAGGAACTGAGTCCCATGAAGGTCAGAGGAGAGCCTTCAGGAGTCGGTTGTAGCTACCAAGTGGATCCTGGAGTGAACTCAGGCTGTCAGAGAGAGCAGCAGGTGGCCAGAACTGCTTAGTCACTGTGCTAAACTGCTGTCTCATCGATTTTCAGAAAACGGTGGGGTTTTGTCGAAGCCTGACTCCAGTGTGACAGCTTGCAGTTTGCATGGGAGGAGTGGAGGTCTTCCCAGGGTGACTGCCTTGTAGCAGTGTTAGACCGTGCAGGGCCAGCAAGAGGCTCAGCCAGTGAAGCACTAGCCAGCAAGCCCGACAATTGGAGTTCTATTCCTAAAAAACCCACACGATCCCTGACATCTCTGTCCTCCTCTCTCTCTGACTGACCTGGAACTCTCTGTGTAACCAGGCTGCCCTCGAACTCACAGAGATCCGCCTGCCTCTTCTCCCAAGTGCTGGGACTAAAGGCGTGCGCCACCGCGCCCACTAGCCCTCTCCTTTGTGACGATCTAGTAAAACCAGATGATGTTAGGGTGAGCTCTTCTATATAAGTGGGGTTAGGGCTTTGATGAAATGCTTCTAATTATAAAGCGTATTCCACACTGCTGTTTTACTGTACATCTACTGTTTTTGTTTAGACTATTAAGGGCGTAAACTACTGAGCAGAGAGCTGGATTCAGCCACAACTGTGTTAAAAGGACTGGCTGCTAGTCCCTGGTTACATGCTCACTTCACACAGCCTCCTCTTTTTGGAAAAGTCACTCCCTGCTTATTGGACCTTTGTTCATAGCTGAGGGTGACTATGGGCTGGAGATTGGACATCAGGAGTTCACCAAACTAATTCGACATCAGTCACCAAAGGGTGATTTCTTTGCTTTGTCAATGTGTTCCAGATAATTGGGGTTGTGCATAATGTATTGGGTGTATCTATAAATCTATCTATCTATCTATCTATCTATCTATCTATCTATCTATCTATCTATCTATCTATCTATCTATCTCTTTATCTCTTTCTTGTTTGTTTGTTTTGATTTTTGAGACAGGGTTTCTCTGTGTAGTCCTGGCTTTCCTGGAACTCGCTCTGTAGCCCAGGCTGGCCTCGAACTCAGAGATCCGCCTGCCTCTGCCTCCTGACTGCTAGGAACAAAGTGCCACGACGCCTAGCAGGGTAAAGTGTTTTTAATAGAACAAGGTGTTGCTGTGCTGTTCTCACAGAGACCCGCCTGCCTCTGTCTCCCAAGTGCTGGGAATAAAGACGTGTGCCACCCGGCTTTTGTTTTGTTTTGTCAACACAGAGAACCCTGATGGGCTTCTCTTGTAATATTTGCCAGATAGTTACCATCTGGCTACAAACCTGTATCCTCCAGAGCTGGTTTCCCTTCTTCCAGTTCCCCTGCTCCTGCTCCTGCCCAGCATGCCTTGACGGTCACGCCCACTCTTCACAGGGCATTAACAATGTACTGTTTTCTCCCCAGAGAAAAGAGCGACACCTACTATTGCATGCTGTTCAATGATGAGGTTCACACCTATGAGCAAGTCATTTACACTCTTCAGAAGGCCGTCAACTGCACACAGAAGGAAGCCATTGGCTTTGCAACCACAGTCGATCGGGATGTAAGTCATTTATCCTGCGAAATTGACACTGTTTGAAATGGAGGTCTCACTTTAGAGTCCCTGGCTGGAACTTGCTGTGTTAACCAGACTGGCCATGAATTTACAGAGATCTGCATGCCTGGGATTAAAGAAATTGAGCTTTTATTACAGATAAGCTAGCATAGAAAGATTAGTTAAAAGTATATGTGTCTAGGCTATTTTTTTAATTTCATTTGGAATATTGGTCCAAATATATGTTAAAACTAAGCTATTAACAGAACATTAAAAGGAAATGTACAGTTGCCCTGATTCTGCCTAGTCATTAAAAATACTGGGCCATG